ATTATTATTTTTTTTTTTTGGTTATTGTAAAAAAGGATTGTTTCTCCCCCCCCAAAAAAAAAAAGTATAAATGTTTCCTGACATTAGAAAATTTATATGAAAAAATGCTCAAGCGTCTGTACTCTATATCTATCAGTATATAGTTATTCCAAGACGTTTGAGCTCCTTGCTAGCGGTCAGATGACCAAAAGACCAGCATTAGGATACACTTGTCCTATTTCCTAACGAATCTTATATGTATTTATGTATACCTGTACCTAAATAAACTTAACCTGATTCCCTACTTTGTGACTGAGGATAACTGGAGACGAATGCAAGATGATTTAAACTGTGAAGAGTCTGTTGAAATAATGTTGTTGAGTATCACATCAGTAAAATTTTCATTTAAATAAAATAATTAATATTTGTGGTGTTGCAAGTTATCCTGGGGGGCTATGCTGTCAAGCTCTTCTAGGAACCTATCATGACAAGCGCTCCTGGGGAAATATCCTGACCAGCTCTCCTGGGGGACTATCCTGACCAGCTCTCCTGGGAAGTTATCCTGACAATCTTTCCTGGGAAGCTATCCTGACAAGCTCGCCTGGGAAGCTATCCTGACAAGCTCGCCTGGGAAGCTATCCTGACAAGTTCGCCTGGGAAGCTATCCTGACAAGCTCTCCTGGGAAGCTATCCTGAGGAGCTGTCCTGGGAAGCTATCCTGACAAGCTCGCCTGGGAAGCTATCCTGACAAGCTCTCCTGGGAAGCTATCCTGACAAGTTCGCCTGGGAAGCTATCCTGACAAGCTCTCCTGGGAAGCTATCCTGACAAGCTCTCCTGGGAAGCTATCCTGACAAGCTCTCCTGGGAAGCTATCCTGACAAGCTCTCCTGGGAAGCTATCCTGACAAGCTCTCCTGGGAAGCTATCCTGACAAGCTCGCCTGGGAAGCTATCCTGACAAGCTCGCCTGGGAAGCTATCCTAACAAGCTCGCCTGGGAAGCTATCCTGACAAGCTCGCCTGGGAAGCTATCCTGGCAAGCTCGCCTGGCGAGCTATCCTGACAAGCTCGCCTGGGAAGCTATCCTGACAAGCTCTCCTGGGAAGCTATCCTGACAAGCTCGCCTGGGAAGCTATCCTGACAAGCTCGCCTGGGAAGCTATCCTGACAAGCTCTCCTGGGAAGCTCTCCTGACAAACTCTCCTGGGAAGCTCTCCTGACAAACTCTCCTGGGAAGCTATCCTAGCAAGCTCTGTTGACAGCCTCTCCTTGAAAGTTAAATACTCAAGCAAAATTTTCAAAGAGGAGGAAAAAGGGCATTGGTGGTAGTGAAAAGTTCCTGATCCAAGGGGTTTGAGTAACTCTCATCCTGTATCGTCCGCTATGGACTGAGATTTCCCATGAACATAATAATCCCATTCCTCGTATCAAACCAGATAAGTGGAGTCAATGCTGCTAATATAGTGGAGGAAGTTTGCCGAGAATTTTATCCACAACAAATTTTATTACATTAGTATGCCTAAGCGCAATATTTATTGCAGGCGAGCCTCCTACTCAAACGTTTTGACGAACGGTTATTATTCTTTCTATGTTTATGTGAACAATTAAAATAGGTTAGGTAGGTTCGTCAGGACACAGGACAAGTGTTTCCTGGAGCGGGTCTTAATTTCAACCGCTAAATTTACCTTTGTGGGTCATTCGGCACTAGGAACTATGGAGGCTCCCCCCCCCCCCCCGTCTTCTGATGGCGAGAGAGAGACACGCTGGAACTCAGTGTGCACTTATCTCGACAAAGAGTTATAAGAGGCTCATTTTAAAACACGAGTAATAATCATGGACACGTTCCTTCCCCAGCGAGACATCAGGTATGAAAATGTGTATACTTAAAGCCTGGCATGGCTGTTCTTAGACTGGCCTTGTTTTCGTTCCTCAGTTATGGTGTTAGAGCCTAGCATTACTACTAGATTGGCTTCGTGCTGGTTCCTCATTTATGTTGTTGGTGCCTAGCATTACTGTTAGACTGGTCTCGTGCTGGGTCTTCAGCTGAGGTGTTGGAGCCTAGTATGACTGTTAGATTGACCATGTGCTGGTTCTCAGATCAGGTGATGGAGCCTAGTGCTACTGTTAAACTGGCTTCGTGTTGGAACCTAGCATTATTGCTAGCTCCTCAGTTCTGGTGATGGATACTAACATGACTGTTAAACTGGCATAGTGCTGGGTCATCAGTATAGTATGGCTGACTACTCTCCAAGACCACAGTGTGTGGCAGTATGTCTAGTGATTACCATACGAAAGATGGAGACTTCAGTAGTCCGTCCGCTGAATAGCCGAAATGATGTAGCAAATCAAGTAGAGATCTTGTTTTACTTCTAAGAGACCGTAAGATTCCTGGCTGATTTGTTAATGGGGTTTCAAGCCTATCGACTACACAAGTGTCATGAAGGCTGCATGTCACTATTCACCACCAATTGAAAATACTGTAATCCTAAATATATACGTTTTGGAATTAAATTTTAAATGTGCATACACTTTCACATGTGCACACATATCTAGAATCTTAAACGGGTCATCAATATGATTAAGACCGGTGTCAGGAGACACTTGTCATGTCTCCTGAAGAACATCATAAGAACAAGCACAAATATCAAGATAGCAACGCTCATCAGAATTCATAAAAATCAATTATAATCGCCAGGACAAAGTCCTGATACTGGTTTTAAATTTTCGACGACCCCTTAAATCTGATAACATGAAAAGTGGTTGAACAATTTCCTTCAGAGTATACCACTTATTTAATATCACATACTATAGACATTTATATAAGGCATATGAGGAAATTTAGTTATTTTTCTTTGAATGTCATGGATATCACGAAATATATGAAGGAGGCCTTAATCTTATTAAGAATACTATCTTCACATGATAAATTCGGTGTGTTTAGGACGATCAGGACTGGTGTTGCCTCTAGAACAAGGTCTTGGGTGATCTTTACCTTCAGTAGTGTCATATATCTGTGTATATGCCAAACGTTTAAATATTCTTATAATAATAGCAAACTTATACTCAAGCCAAATTAATAAAGACCCAGAGATCGTTTACACACTTGATACAACCGTCAACCGAGGGATGACTTAGTAGAGGTTAAATCCATAAGCAGTTTCAGAAGCAAGCACGAGAGAACCTCATCTCGCCTGATGACCAGGAGTTGGAACTCAGCACCCACCCATTCGACTATTTAAATATCCATCGTAGTTTAATATAAAAAATTGTAGAGTTTCCGCGAGTAGAGATAGGCCAGGAAAGATGAGAAGGGTTTCCATAAAAACGCTGTGAGTAAAGTGCAATCTTAACCTTTAGTTTTTGTGCGTGTCTAATAGCGTCTTCCTGGATGTGCATGGGTAACTGTAGCAACGAGTGTGTGAAATAGATCTTCTCGTGCTCATGTCGGTCGGTAGTATAATCTAGTGACTTATTTACATAATTTCGTGAAAATACGTTATGATGTAGCCTCGTGTAGTTCCCGC